GACAGAGCCGCTTCCCGATGCGGGGAAAAAAATTCGGGGTGAAGATTTGTAGGAGCGAACTCCAACCGGTACCTCGCGGAGGGGTTCAACCCCCAACTCTGCCCCTCCGGTAACCGGGAGAGAAAAACGAACTCGGCCGGAGCCGGTTATGGCACCCGGGATGCGCAGGAGAGGGCAAAATGGTTTGTTTTTTTTTTTTCCTGGATATTTAAGCTGAGCTGAGGTTCGGCTATCGGATCGGCGCCCGTCCGCTCGTTTTCCAGCCCCGCACGCCGTAGCGGTGTTCCCCCAGGCAAGAAACCCCCTTCCCGAAAATCCAATCGGGCTGGAAAGAAAAAAAAAAAGGGAGGGGGGGGGAGAACTTTGTAGAGTAGGGTGGATGGTTGGACTCGATGATCCCAAGGGTCTCTTCCAACCGAGACAATTCTACGATTCTATGATTCTAGCAGAGTTAGGAGTCGAAAGGGATTAGCAGAGGAGGACTCGCGGCCGGGAAGCGTCTCCGGCTCCCACGGCAGAAGCGGAACAATTTGCTTAATTACATAATGAACCTCTTGGGAGAAAATGAGCTGAAAACGTACGCCGGAGCCGGGTAGAGAAAAGCCGCAAAAAGCGCCGCGAGGTTTTCCAGGGGGAAAAAAAACAAATAAATGGAAATTAATAATAAGCGGAGAGACCTGGAGGACTGGAAAACACCGGCGTGAAGGTAAAGGAGGGAAAGAACGGGTCTTCGGGGAACAAGAGGACTTTCTGCCGGCGGCGGGGCGCTCGTCGGCAGGAAAGGAGGAGGAGGAGGAGGAGGAGAAACCGGGTGTTGGGTGAGTGAATCCTCGGGGTGACGCAGGCAGGGGAAAAAAAGGCGCCGGTGCCGAATGAATGGGAGGGAGGGGGGAGAGGGGCTGATGATGTTCACCCATTTTTCCCCCCTCCGGCAGCGGAGACGGAGACACGTGGGCCACCTCGTGCCGCTCACGCTCCAACCCAACTGGAAGAGGAGAAGCGCCGAGGTCTGCAAGCACGGGGCCAGCGCCGTCACGGGGTGGGGAGCCACCACCGTCCGAGTCACATTTTGGGGTTTTTTTCCCTCCTTCATTTCGTCTCAGATGTTGGTGGGGACCCCGAGAAGCGCGTGGTTGTTGAGTCTTCCCCACAGCGCTGCTCGAAGCCGGGGCGGGGGGGGAAAAAAAAGCATCAAAGGGTTCCACGTCAACACGGGCAACGCCGGTCTGAAGCCACGTTAGGGGGAGGGAGGGACGACGTGGGGAAAAAAAAGCCCCTTGAAGAGGCGAGGATGGAAAGGGGACGCTCCGGGGGGCAAAGGGAACTCGGGATCATTGCTGGCTAACCTAATTTTTAACCACTTCCTTAATTAATCCTCCTCCGTTTACCCGCCGCCAAGCGAACTCAAGCGGCCCGGGCACGGCGAGGGAGGAGGAAGGCGAGTCGGGACGGGATGGGAACGTGCAAGAAGGGTGCCTGAATTTCATCCTCGGCCCCGAAAAGCCATCCGAGGGTTAGCGGTAACTCCCGCAGCTTTGAAAAAAAAAAAAATACGTATTTCAAAACGCCACGGAGCTCGGCGGCCACCTTCAGAGAGAAGGGTCAAAGCTTTTCCTTTCGGAGCAGCAAGCGTTGCGCCAGCGGAGCGAAATAAGAGCGCCGGGTACGATGGGAATGGGTACGGCTCCCCCTCTCCCCCTCCCCCCCCAAAAAAATAAATCAGCGCCCAGGAAGAGGGAAGGAATGACCACAAAACCCGTGAGGTTTACGTCAGCTGCGAAAAAGGAACGCGGAGCCAGGAGAGAGAGGTCGCGGCCACTTACGTCTTCATCCAAGCTCGTTTGCTCCAAATCGACGATTTTGAACTGGACCCGCTTGAAAATTTCTTCCAGGGCCTCGCAGGCTTTGTAATCCAGCTTCTCCCCTGCGGAAAGAGCGGAATAAAGGCATTTTGGGTGCGCACAACAGCTTCTCCCCTGGAGAAAGAGCGGAATAAAGTCATTTTGGGGGCGCGTAACAGCTTCTCCCCTGCGGAAAGAGCGGAATAAAGGCATTTTGGGTGCGCACAACAGCTTCTCCCCTGGAGAAAGAGCGGAATAAAGTCATTTTGGGGGCGCGTAACAGCTTCTCCCCTGCGGAAAGAGCGGAATAAAGGCATTTTGGGTGCGCACAACAGCTTCTCCCCTGGAGAAAGAGCGGAATAAAGTCATTTTGGGGGCGCGTAACAGCTTCTCCCCTGCGGAAAGAGCGGAATAAAGGCATTTTGGGTGCGCACAACAGCTTCTCCCCTGGAGAAAGAGCGGAATAAAGTCATTTTGGGGGCGCGTAACAGCTTCTCCCCTGCGGAAAGAGCGGAATAAAGGCATTTTGGGTGCGCACAACAGCTTCTCCCCTGGAGAAAGAGCGGAATAAAGTCATTTTGGGGGCGCGTAACAGCTTCTCCCCTGCGGAAAGAGCGGAATAAAGGCATTTTGGGTGCGCACAACAGCTTCTCCCCTGGAGAAAGAGCGGAATAAAGTCATTTTGGGGGCGCGTAACAGCTTCTCCCCTGCGGAAAGAGCGGAATAAAGGCATTTTGGGTGCGCACAACAGCTTCTCCCCTGGAGAAAGAGCGGAATAAAGTCATTTTGGGGGCGCGTAACAGCTTCTCCCCTGCGGAAAGAGCGGAATAAAGGCATTTTGGGTGCGCACAACAGCTTCTCCCCTGGAGAAAGAGCGGAATAAAGTCATTTTGGGGGCGCGTAACAGCTTCTCCCCTGCGGAAAGAGCGGAATAAAGGCATTTTGGGTGCGCACAACAGCTTCTCCCCTGGAGAAAGAGCGGAATAAAGTCATTTTGGGGGCGCGTAACAGCTTCTCCCCTGCGGAAAGAGCGGAATAAAGGCATTTTGGGTGCGCACAACAGCTTCTCCCCTGGAGAAAGAGCGGAATAAAGTCATTTTGGGGGCGCGTAACAGCTTCTCCCCTGCGGAAAGAGCGGAATAAAGGCATTTTGGGTGCGCACAACAGCTTCTCCCCTGGAGAAAGAGCGGAATAAAGTCATTTTGGGGGCGCGTAACAGCTTCTCCCCTGCGGAAAGAGCGGAATAAAGGCATTTTGGGTGCGCACAACAGCTTCTCCCCTGGAGAAAGAGCGGAATAAAGTCATTTTGGGGGCGCGTAACAGCTTCTCCCCTGCGGAAAGAGCGGAATAAAGGCATTTTGGGTGCGCACAACAGCTTCTCCCCTGGAGAAAGAGCGGAATAAAGTCATTTTGGGGGCGCGTAACAGCTTCTCCCCTGCGGAAAGAGCGGAATAAAGGCATTTTGGGTGCGCACAACAGCTTCTCCCCTGGAGAAAGAGCGGAATAAAGTCATTTTGGGGGCGCGTAACAGCTTCTCCCCTGCGGAAAGAGCGGAATAAAGGCATTTTGGGTGCGCACAACAGCTTCTCCCCTGGAGAAAGAGCGGAATAAAGTCATTTTGGGGGCGCGTAACAGCTTCTCCCCTGCGGAAAGAGCGGAATAAAGGCATTTTGGGTGCGCACAACAGCTTCTCCCCTGGAGAAAGAGCGGAATAAAGTCATTTTGGGGGCGCGTAACAGCTTCTCCCCTGCGGAAAGAGCGGAATAAAGGCATTTTGGGTGCGCACAACAGCTTCTCCCCTGGAGAAAGAGCGGAATAAAGTCATTTTGGGGGCGCGTAACAGCTTCTCCCCTGCGGAAAGAGCGGAATAAAGGCATTTTGGGTGCGCACAACAGCTTCTCCCCTGGAGAAAGAGCGGAATAAAGTCATTTTGGGGGCGCGTAACAGCTTCTCCCCTGCGGAAAGAGCGGAATAAAGGCATTTTGGGTGCGCACAACAGCTTCTCCCCTGGAGAAAGAGCGGAATAAAGTCATTTTGGGGGCGCGTAACAGCTTCTCCCCTGCGGAAAGAGCGGAATAAAGGCATTTTGGGTGCGCACAACAGCTTCTCCCCTGGAGAAAGAGCGGAATAAAGTCATTTTGGGGGCGCGTAACAGCTTCTCCCCTGCGGAAAGAGCGGAATAAAGGCATTTTGGGTGCGCACAACAGCTTCTCCCCTGGAGAAAGAGCGGAATAAAGTCATTTTGGGGGCGCGTAACAGCTTCTCCCCTGCGGAAAGAGCGGAATAAAGGCATTTTGGGTGCGCACAACAGCTTCTCCCCTGGAGAAAGAGCGGAATAAAGTCATTTTGGGGGCGCGTAACAGCTTCTCCCCTGCGGAAAGAGCAGTATAAAGTCATTTTGGGTGCGCACAACAGCTTCTCCCCTGGGAAAGAGCGGAATAAAGTCATTTTGGGTGCGCGTAACAGCTTCTCCCCTGTGGAAAGAGCGGAATAAAGTCATTTTGGGTGCGCACAACAGCTTCTCCCCTGGGGAAAGAGCAGAATAAAGTCATTTTGGGTGCGCGTAACAGCTTCTCCCCTGTGGAAAGAGCGGAATAAAGTCATTTTGGGTGCGCGTAACAGCTTCTCCCCTGTGGAAAGAGCGGAATAAAGTCATTTTGGGTGCGCACAACAGCTTTTTCCCTGGGGAAAGAGCGGAATAAAGTCATTTTGGGTGCGCACAACAGCTTTTTCCCTGGGGAAAGAGCGGAATAAAGTCATTTTGGGTGCGCGTAACAGCTTTTTCCCTGGGGAAAGAGCGGCATAAAGTCATTTTGGGTGCGCGTAACAGCTTCTCCCCTGGGGAAAGAGCAGAATAAGGTGATTTTGGGTGCGCGTAACAGCTTCTCCCCTGGGGAAAGAGCAGAATAAGGTGATTTTGGGTGCGCGTAACACACAGGGCGCGGGCAGCCCTGAGCCCCAAACCGCGGGACACACGGCAAGGTGACTTTCTGCCCCGTTCCGAGGCGTCCCACCCATCGAACAACCCTCCCGGAGGGAAATTCAAACCCAACCTCGAGCATTCACGTCGATTGCTTCGACGCATCACCTCCCGTTGAGTATTTCTCGTTAAGAGACGGGGACCGGCCGTCGCAGGGAGCCCCGAAAGTAAATTTTCCCCCCGATAAGCATCCGTGCTGGATGCTTTTAGGCAGCGCGTCGATCGCCAGCGGGGGGTTCCATCCGGGAAACTCCGTTTGGGG